TTTGCTGCTATCTGATTACATGCCATAGCCTCTGAATTTAGTGACACCTCTGCAATCAGCTGCCAGGAGACCAAAAACAAACCCTTCACCACGGTTTAAAGCAGAGACACGTTACCACTTCTTTCCTCACGAGATTAGAGGCATAATTTTTGCTTTCACTTCTCCTTCCTCTCATAAACAAGCTGCACTGGTTGATTGCTGGGGCAGAGACATGGGCTATGTTAGACTCTAAAAGCAAGCACCGAGTTCAGATATCGCTCCTGCATTGGATGACTTCAATTTCAATTAGAAGTGAGGCAAAGGAGATGAAGTACCAGGTAAGAGAACAGACAGACACCTGCCATTTAGCAGGCTGCCTAGTGAATTTGGTGTTTGAAACCTACTGCGTGCCAAGGTACTGACATGGCATAGCAACAGCTGTAAGCATTACAGCAGAAACACGAGCTTCTCCCTCTTCTGAACCCTCCTTTAAGCAATAGCATTACAGCAGCTTACAGAATAAGCACAAAGGCCAGCAAGACCAGCAGGGCTCACAGCTTCAATGCCGCAACGATAAGCAAAAGCTGCAAACATCAGACAAATGAAAAGCAAAGCCATCACTAGTGTGACCTGAGTTCAAATCAAATCTCAAATCCTGAAATTAAAAGCAAGGAGAAACAGCCTGCAGGCTGGCCAGAACAGCATTGGCTCAGTGAGGTTATGGCCCCACAGTGACAAGTGACTTGGCAAAGCCCCGAGGAACATGCAGAGGATCAAGCAGTGTCGCAGCCACCAGGACCCCCCTCACCTCAACCATTTGTTGCACACTACCCAGCAACCCAGCACTACACTGCCCATTACTTTTCAGCTATGTAATACATACAATCCAGCAAAAAAGAAACTTTTATGAAGTAACACTTGGTTTTTGTTGTTGTTGGCTTTTATTTTGCAGGATTTCTTTTTAAGAAAACAAGGCAGAATAAAAGAACTAGTGAAATCACTTCTACTAACACAAAAGAGTAAACAAAGAGCACCCCATCCGACTTCTAAGAGTAATTCTCTCTGAATAGGTTGGTTTTTGTTGCTGTTTTTATGAAAAGATTCCTCTGTTACAGAACCAACCAGCAATTCATCAATGCAACAGACAAAAGAAATATTACTATTTACACCCAGAAGGTTTTTGACCTGAAGTTCTAGGGTCAGGCGGGTAAACTAGAACTCATCTAACCCCCAATAATCATTTTAACATTATTTTTCCATCCTTAAAAGAAGATACTGATGAGATTTCTTCGCAGAGAATGCTGCAAATTGATAGCTTTGTTCCAGTTCACTACAGTTTCTTATTGATTTTCTCTCGTTTGAGCCTGCATTGATTTGTTAATCCCTTCTCTGTAACAGTTTTAATGACAAATTGAGAATGAAAAACTGCATGCTTTAGGGCATTTTCCACCAACCTCTTGCTTCAAACCATAAATTTCACATAGATTTGGAAAACATCTATACCCTGGGTCAGACCTGACTTAGCTCATACTAAGATAATCTTTACACTGCAGCCTTTCTACTTAGGCTTCTCATAGATGGACAAGGCAGCTACTGAAAGAACTCTAGCAAGGCAGAAGAGGATTTCTGCATTTAGGACAGCCCCCTTCCAGAGCTGTTGCTTACACAGGCTTTGTCTTAACACTGACTAGATTTTTTTTAAGCAATTTTCACCACAAAACCACAGCAGAGTCAGCAAAAGCAAGGCAGGTACAGGCTGCCACACGCCAATGGCTTATTTTTGTTCCCTGACACACAACTGGCCCCCCTTCAGTCATCACTGCCAAGAGTCAGGCTTGGTGACTGTGAAACTGAGCAGGGAATTAAGTCCAAGAACTCAGGTATCCAAAAACGACAGCGATACAAGTTCTTGTAGTTTCCTAACTGAAACTGGAGATCTCAGTCCTCAGCTGTAATCTAGCACAGCTTTCTTTAATTACAGAAAGGGTATAATGAGAGCACGGCTGCATGTGAACCGTGCTGCATATCCAAAATGACAGTAGACATCCCTTCCATCCAATTTAGTGAGAAATGTTCAGCATTGCAGGATGATTTCTTCTCATTTGTTTACTGCTGCAGCAAATGCTTGCTGCAACGTGAATGACATGCTGAACATACCCCAAACAGTAAAATGATAGCTATTAAAACCAAAAATATCAAATTGGCCCGGAAAAGCATTTTGACAAGGAAGAAACATTAAGCCAGGTCTTTGTAGCATTTGCTAAATACAGAGGCTCATCATATTTCAGGCCATTCGTATTTAATTCTCCTTTCATCTGAAGAGCAGTGGCTGTGAATGCACATCAGGCAGCAGATGAGTCAGATGTTCTGAAGAGGTCCAATCAAGGACGCCCCACAACATAAGAGCACTGCATGCATAATGCCTCACACAACTGATTCTGCTACAGCCCCAAGTTCCTTCTCCGTGTCTCATCCTATTCCATGGCGGTTTTGCACAAAAGCACTAAGAGAAAAACAATAAATCGGCCCGCAGACTCTTATTTCAGGAAGTTAAAGGCAGGAGACTACAGGAGCCTGATGTTCATGCACACTTAAAGCTGATTAGCAGATAATCATCTTAAGTGCAGGCTTTTGTTCTTCCACTGTTTTGGATGAAAAACAAACAAAAAAATCCACTTGTATTTCCAAGGTCAATGTTTCCAAACGAATTTGTGAGATGAAGTCAAACTCAGTGAAAACAGTCTTCCACAACACTTCAAAATTCAATTTTGGAAAGGTAGACAGACTGCAGATACAGAGATTATAGTCATTTCAGCACAAAGAAGAGAGACTCCCCAGTCCTTGGTGAGGGTATAAGACAAGTCACAGCACAGGTTATCTCAAGGACAGCACAGTAGACTTAAACTAGTGTGCCTTTTATACTTTCCTCTAATTTCTACATCAGTTTCTCCACTTTGGCTTTAGCAGTATTAACACAAGTTCAAAGGGAATCAATGGACTAAAACACGGTTCAAAATTTTTGTTCAATCGTTAAAAATCATTAGTTGTAAGTGTCAGCTATTAAATTGGTCCTCTTTAATGAAGTGCATGATGGAGTTGATAATTCACAGTAAGCATGGAAAAGAACTCATCCTCTCTGTGTCCATTTTAACTCAAATCAAACCTCATCTCTATATGATGACAAATGAAAAAAAGGATAGTTTGTGTGCAAAAAAAAAACCAAAACACCAGCTCACACACTACATAGTATAAACACTGCAACTTAACACAGTTTTAGGTATAAATTCTAACTCTGGCATTATTTTGTAACCTTGAAGTGAAGTGATTTGGGCTCTTATCTGTTTGTTCCTTTTCCCATCAATGCAGATCCTCTCAGCGTACAAATGATGCTAGCTCTTGATCACACTCTTCTTAAATCATCTTCATGCTGTTAGCTCTGCAAAGAATGATGCCTGCTCCAGAACACTGCCATTGCTAATCACTCAAATCAAGTCTCTCACAGGTGTATAAGGAGGAACAGCGCTGAGGGCAGCAGAATGAAGATGAGATGTTGTTTTTACTCTTTCTTTTCAAAGAATGTTTCTGATTGCATCTCCTTCCTTCACCTTCATGAATCATTCGTCCTGCCAAACTTAAACTCCCCTGGCAAAAACTACAGCTGCCATGGCTTTGTATTGTACAAGGGACAAGAGAACTACTTGAGGCATTGCCCAAAGCTCAAATGAAAAGCAGCACAAAACAGGTTTCACGGTGGTGTTCCTATAGCTATCCAACAATAAAAGCAAGGATGCCATTCTCAAAATAAGTTAGACTGCTGCTTGAGACTCAGTGGAGTCAACACCAACCACACAAATTATTTGTCAACGCATATCCTATGCTCTAAGGTTCCACTTCTCATCCGAGTGCACACATCTGCAGAATGCTGATGACAGGAAAGGGCTGAGGCTGACTCTGCTAGCTGAAGTCCTGCTGCAAGACACAACCTGAAGGCAGAGCAGCAGTGCATGCACTGCAGCTGAAGACCTCAACCTGTACTTATTCCTTGCATTCTGACTGCCACAGGGACATGCACATTGCCATCCAGCAGGCCAATTGCCACATGCTGCTTCTCAGACACTAACAAGCCAAGAATACGGTTTGCAGGCAGTATGGGTTGCAAACAACTTTGGAGTTCCTATGCAACATTCACTTCCCCACTGTATAACCAAGATGTTATAATTTTGTATAACCAAGATGTTATAATTACAATATAATCAAGAGAGTAAGGCAAACAGACAATGATCACAAAAGAGAATAAGTGGAAGAGCTTACCCTTGGGTTGAGCTCACCAGAAGATACCAAAAGAGGAGATCTCCAGAAGAGATCCTTCCCCTCTGGTAGCCAGCTCTTAAATAGGTCCAGGAGGGGTGGAGCCTGGCTCCACCCCTTCCGGCAGCACAGGTGAATTGCCTTCACCTGTGCTCCTCTGGCTGACTCAAGGCTCACCTCAGGTGATTAATCAGAGGTTCAGGCCGTGACTCAGCAGTTCCCATACACCCACCATCTTTGCGTCTGTGATTTTCTCAGTCATACAAAAAAAAGAAACCCTCCAACACAGCTCAAGGATGTTATGAAGTAGAGAAATCTTCATTCTTGTTTAGTCAACCTGAGACAGAAGCTGCAATATAATTTATCAGCTAGAGAACAGCCATTGGCTAAATTGTTACAGAGGGCTTCAGCAAGAAGTAGCGCCACACCTGGGCAAGGTCCCACCCCAGCTGTGAGACTTCAAAGCTGCAGCTATCTCCAGTATGCATTTATATGTGAAAGAACTTGGCATCTGGTTCAAACAAGAGAAAATCAGCTTCTTAATGCAAAAGCCTTTTATGAAATTTGAAGTAATTGAATCATTAAGTTCTGAGCTTACAGGAAGAGCAACAAGGGCTTGTGCTGCAGCATTTGAAAGGTTTCTATTAGGAAATTGTTCTGATTATCTTAATGCACCTAAGAAAAACCTGGAAAAATGGTAATTTCTTCATTACCTGAGATGCTCCATTTAGGCAAGGCAAGGAAATAGGAATGTTACAAAACAGCTTCACAGATTGTTCACATGCTGTGCACGTCTCCTGCCCATCAGGAACCACTGCATGTCTTCCAAGCTGTCCGTAGTCTGCTCTGCCCCAGGTGAATACCTTCCCAGTTTCTAAAAACAAAGCACATTTCGAGATTACTTATTCACTAGGTTCCTGGAACATCTGGATGCCAATTCAAAGCTAGAACACCACTTTCTAATGCATCTTATCTAAAGCTTCAAAAACCTAGTGGAAACTTATTTGCTCCTGGGAGCACAAGAAAAATTATATTAAAACTAAAGATGAATTGAGTTGCTCTTCCACACAGTTTCTCCAACTTCATTAACTTTCCAGCAGAATGCCAGCTGTGTGGTGGCCTGGGCTGTAAATGAAACCACTTCAGTGAAGCTGCTTAACTTGTATATACTGCATGCAATACACATAATTTGTTTGTATAAAGGATGATGTTTTTTAGCTGCACAGAAGCACACACAAAACAGCTGTTTTTGAAGCACAAAAGATTGTTTTCTACTCTCAGTATTTGCCATAGAAATATCCATCCTATGTCCTGCATTTAACATATGGTTTGTTTTCCTGATAGAAGTCAGGATACCTTCTGTCATAACTCCTGCTAGCAAAGTTATAGCCCTCAGGGCAGCAGCTGATTAGTGAGGAACTCCACCACAGTCATCATTAAGCACTGCAAATACAACAGTTTGTTCTCACAGGAATCACATTTTTACCAAGGCAGTTTTAAATGAAATCAGCAGCATTTAGATCATCCTTCTCCCCACATTACAAAGGATTTCACTGCTGCAGGACTGACACCCCAAAGTCCATCCTACAAAATAAACAGCATTCATAAAGTAATGCTTCTTACCTTCCATTCCTATTTTGAAAGAACATGCTAGGTGCAAGCTTTTTTTTTCTTAATGACATAATTGCATTTGCAAGGAAGTTGGTGAAAGCTCTCCTTCCACGGCTTCCAATTTAAAAAGTTATATATACACAATATAAACAATATGCTCTTAAGTGGGTTTTTACTAGAAGCAGCAATCCCATCACAGCCCAGAAGGAAGCCTGCAGAGACCCTGAATTCAATGCGTACTTCAGCCAAGCCTCAAACTTCTGAGAACTGGATTCCTCAAGTCACAAGCTGAACAATTTTAATTTTCCTCAAATCATAGAATCACAGAGTGGCTTGGGTTGGAATGGTCCTCAAAGATCATCTAGTTCCAAATCCCTGGTGTGAAATCTGTGAGAAGTCAAGCAAAGCAGCTCTAACACTCGCTTCTACCCTTGCCCTTCACTGAAGACATATCCCACAGAGCCAAGGGTTTCCTTAATATGCCGTAACACAAACCTCAGGAAACCTGAACAGCTCTGGTTTTTTTGGGTGCTGTTATACCATCTCAGAGGGAACAAAGCTAGGCACTGCTGGTTTGGGGGATTTAAGCCGGTAACGCATTTCAAACTGGAAATCTCTGACTCTGTAGAAATGTACATGAAGTATATCCATCTTCCTTGCAAATCTGCTTGTAGTGGTATCTTTCACTCAGATCTTTCAAACAGTTTTTCAGATTCATTCTCTCAGTTCACTGATAACGCCTTCCCTGAAATAATTAAGGGATAAAATTAGTTGTCCTTTTCTTTCAAGGGCACAAAGATTTTTTGCCTTTGGAGGCTCTCTAGCACTTAGGGAGAAGCTGAAACCAATCACACATTGCTTTCAACCCAAGAAAGGTCTTTTAGTACACAGGCTTTGTTTTGTTAGGTTAAAGCACTAGAAGGTTTCATTGATAGAACACCAGCATGCTTTAAAACTTGGAGGAAATAGTTTGTAGCTTAAAAAATGTATATGCTTATTTTGTGGGTACTATATTTATTTTATAGTTTGTATGGATCTCTGCTAAAAACGTCTGCAGTTGCAGAAATGTTGCAGGAAAGCTCCTGTGTCAATATGTTCTGCAGCAAACCTAAACGTAGATTGAGTCTCGGGCTTTTACATCACACCAGATTACTGCATCTATGAAGAAGTTTGTGAGCAGACTAGAAATGTGCAGGCAGGCTGCTCTACTTTGTATCAACTCCAGGAACTCAAGCTGATTTTTATGGAGGAGAAACCCAGAAAGAATTTTTGTAGCATCTAGTTAGATCATTAACACCCCACAGGCTCTCAAGCCCTACCCAGACACTGCTGCATTGACCTGTAATTCAACTCAAAGCATTTCAACCCTCAGAAGCCAAACACATCAAGTGCAAGAGAGACAGACGTCAGCAACCCACAAGGCCTCCAGAAAGGTGAGCAGGATATGCGATGACACATCCAGATTCTCCCAGACCAATGGTAGCACTGCCTTGGACACAGGAAAGAGTCCTCTCCAGTCTGACTTTTTTTCCCAAAAGCAAATCATGCGTTCCATCTGGACCCAGACACTCAGAGAAGCCCCAACCACTTAGGTAACAGTAAGGATCCTGGGCATGCTCACATCAGAGCACTGCCTTGTCTAAATTCATGCCTACTGCTAGTGTTCATGGATTCAGATGAAGGCAAACTAAAATTCCCAGATACATCCGACCAGTTACTCATTGAGAGATTTTCCTGCCCTGTAGGTGACCAATCGATAGATCTGTCTAACTACAGCTGCCATCAGCTGTTTATTATGTTTTTATCAGCAATGAAGACTAGAAAAAGCTCCTTTACCCACCATCTCTACCTGCTGTATGTTTGGTTTTGGTTTTTTTTTTTCCTTCTACTATTATTTACGTATCGGTGCCCTTCAGGTTTACTGCAATTCTACTATTTGATCAATTTTTGAGGCACTACATTAAACTTTCAAATAAGTTGAAATATAAATAACAGGCCTGGAAACAGTACGATGCTCATGATTTTACTCCTCCACAACCTTACAATGGCTTTGAACTGTGTTTGTTATTATTATTGCAAATTATTCCAGCAAATTTGGTGGAAATAAAGAACATGAGTATATCAGAAGGATTGAGAACAGACAGTAGTAGGGCTTAGCTACAGCAGAACACCTCCAATGCCCAGATTCTGTTCTCTTTAACCGGAAAAGCAGCACAGAAATAATTACACATTCAACACCAAACAGCCTTTAGCAGTCTCACTGTTCACAAGCAGAAATAACTGATTTGGTGGTGCAGAGTCCGGTTGGAGACCTGTAAGCAGCGGTGTTCCTCAGGGGTCTGTACTGGGTCCGGTCTTGCTCAACATCTTCATCAATGACCTTGATGAGGGGATAATGGCCACCCTCAGCAAGTTTGCTGATGATACGAAGTTGGGAGGATTGGCTGACACGCCTGAAGGCTGTGCTGCCATTCAGCAAGACCTGGATAGGCTGGAGAGCTGGGCAGAAAAAAACCGGATGAGGTTTAACAAAAGCAAGTGTAGAGTCTTGCATCTGGGGAGGAATAATTCCATGCACCAGTACAGGTTGGGGGATGACCTGCTGGAGGGGAGCTCTGCGGAGAGGGACCTGGGTGTCCTGGTGGACGACAGGTTGGCCATGAGCCAGCAGTGTGCCCTTGTGGCCAAAAAGGCCAATGGCTTACTAGGGTGCATTAAAAAGAGCGTGTCCAGCAGGTCGAAGGAGGTGATCCTCCCCCTCTACTCTGCCCTGGTAAGACCTCATCTGGAGTACTGTGTCCAGTTCTGGGCTCCCCAGTACAAAAAAGACAAGGATCTCTTGGAAAGAGTCCAGCGGAGGGCCACGAAGATGGTGAAGGGCCTGGAGCATCTCTCCTACGAGGAAAGGCTGAGTGAACTGGGTCTGTTCAGCCTTGAGAAAAGGAGACTGAGAGGGGACCTGATCCAGGTCTATAAATATCTAAGGTGTGGGGGGCAGAATGGCGAGGCCAGACTGTTTTCAGTGGTGAGTGGAGACAGGACAAGGGGAAACGGCTGGAAACTGCAGCATAGGAAGTTCCGCACAAATGTGCGCAAGAACTTCTTTACAGTGAGGGTGACGGAGCACTGGAACAGGCTGCCCAGGGAGGTGGTGGAGTCTCCTTCTCTGGAGATGTTCAAGACCTGCCTGGATGCCTACCTGTGCGACCTACTGTAGGGAACCTGCTTTGGCAGGGGGGTTGGACTCGATGATCTCTGGAGGTCCCTTCCAACCCCTACAATTCTGTGTGTGATTCTGTGTGTGATTTCACTTTTTTCCATTTTGCAACTAAGGGAAACAAGTTTCAGGTGGTTATTGGTAGGCAAACACAGAGAATATCAACCTTAAATTTTAAACCAGGTGATTCTTTTGTTTGTTTTAAGAAGAGATTAAAAGTTGGCCCAAAAAGCCAATTCCTCCTTTAGTTCTCACGAACCCCAAAATATCTTTTCTGTGAGAGAACCTAATAGAAGCTGATTTAGAAGTGCCTCCTCTACAAAACGGCAATTACATTTTTAGCTAACAGACCAACAAAAAAATTTCAGTCACAAGTGGAAATTTCAGGCTGAGGCAAACACCAATGCATGGAAAATTCCAGCCAAGAAGGTTAAAGTCTTCTCAAAATCCTAAGCGAAAGAAAGCATTGAGTTATGACAGAAAGTGTTAAGCAACTGTAATGAGAGGTATTGCTACTGTGCTGCTTATAATATAGATGGTATTTTAAAATGTTCTAAGAATATTTGAGAAAGACATTAGTCATACAGAGTAAGGAGGCTGCAGGATGAATTACTTAAGAATGAAGGGTGATATAACAAGGAACGTTGGTCTAATATTAGAATAGAACAGATTTTAATTAGAAGTCGAGAAAACATACACAGTGATGAGTCAACTGGACAGAGTACATCAACCATGGAAGTGGCTGAGGCACCAGAAAAAGGTATTTTGTCCCAGACTCCATACAGTAAAAGAATAAAAGGCAGGAGGAATTTCTTCAGCTTGTGTGAAAGAAAGACGCATACTACATCGGCAGTTCTTGGAAGATACTAATGATGCTTCCTAAGACCTTGATCTTGCCATGTTCTGAGCACATGGGCCTCGATTCCAAAAGGTTCTTTAAATCCTCAACAGTGAAGATCAGCATCACCTCAGAAGACACTATCACAACTCCCTCTTTTTTCACAAAAAAATCATAGAATCATTAAGGTTGGAGAAGACCTCTTAGG